CTCAGATTTCTCAGAAATTAGAGATTTGTGATCGTCATGACATCAGTCCATGTGACGATGCAAATCTCCTTTCACACAACGGCCAATCCAATTCTGACATCCCAATCAAACAAGAACCAAACCGGTACTAACCTATTAGGAATGACAACAACAACAATATCATATAAAGATACATCAAAAACTTACCAAATCAAGACAAATCTCCTGAAAATCTTCTGTACTACTAAAAAAAATATTTCCACTAGCCATAACTTAGCTGTTTATGAACAGGCATAAGTCATTCATGAACCACTTCTACTGTGGTTTCACCCACGTGGTGTTTTTATTGTTTTAGAAGTTTTTTATACAATAGGTTAGTGTTAACTTAAATGGATGCTTAATGTAATGACAGAATTATTAATTAATTAATAAAGTCTCGCATTTTATACTTGTTTGCAGTAAAAAAAAAAAATAATAAAAAAAAAAATAAATTTTAAAATTTTTTGTTGATTAATATTATGGTTCCAAAATTTGGAATTGAACAGAAATTACAAGAAATTGCATAAGGTTCAAAACACTATTAAAAATGATGATAAGATATATCTTACCTATTAAGTTTAATATAAACTTGAGAATTAAATACAAAATCAAATACAAAATTGAAGAGAATTATTAGAATTCTTAATTAATATTAAATAATTTTTTATACTGTATTTTAAATATAAATTTATTTAAAATTAATTATTAAAAATATTGATTCTAATTTTTAAATATTAAGAAAAATTTTAAAATACGCTTAATACAATATTTAATAAACAAGATGTACACCTGTTATTATAAAAAAAAATTGATAACAATAAAGAAAAAATTGCAAGAAAAAAAATATATAAATATAAAGCCAATCTAAAATGAAATAAATGAAATGGGTCCTGATCTATCAAAAAGGTGGTTATCATTTTGGTTACATAAAAAATTTTTTTTGTGTAAACATATTTTCTGTAGAGAAAACTGCTAAAAATATGCTTGTACAAAAAAAAATTTTTGTGTAACCAAAATGATAACCACCTTTTTGATAGATCAGGACCCAAATGGTTAAAAAAAAAGTTTTAGCTAATATGGAAATACAAATAAATAAATAAATAATATCAATAAATATGATGTATATTTTTTTAAACCTTAATCAGGCAGAAATTATTTGTTATTAAATTATATTAAATCACTACAATAAGTATTGCATATATAAACCTACTTGATCTAATTCATTTATAGGAACGTCAAGTTACTCATTCATTGAGTAATTATATCACTAAATATATTTTTTGCCTTACCTAATCAATATAATATATATTTCAACCGAATAAAAATTACTTGGTCGATTTTCTTTCGATTTTTAGATATAATCTTATCTTTATGGAATATCTTAATTATTACACATCTTGACACTACTGAATTGTATATGAACAGGTCATGGCGAAAGCTGAAACCTTGACACGTGAAAACAATCTTTATTTTGTACAGTAAAAAAAAAAAAATCTGAAAAAATTTCAAAGTATTCTACATACAAAAATAATAAATAAATAAATAACAATTTTTGGTCAAAAAAAATCATCTCTAGAAATTTTTTAAAATTAAATGACGTCAAACAAAACAATCTTTGATTATGCCAAAAAAAAAATCCCCAAATGGTTCCACACTAATGATGATGACAAAGTTTTAAAGTCCAAATATTACTTTGTGAAGAATTGGTATAATAATAAATTACTTTTTGTTTTAATTAAAACCATCATGTATTAGTCGTGCTTCCTTCGCCTCTCTCTCACATCCCTTGAACTTCATCATGTTGATGTTGATATTCGTCATGTTGCTGCAGACTGGAATATATGTTTTTTTCATCGTCGACATCTATCCGCATATTTACTTTATTATCATCTGTCCGAACTATCTCGCTGTCAACATTCTCCCCTCTCTCCAAATTTGACGTCGAACTTTCTCCAATTCTGCTCGTATTTATAAATTTAGGCATGCGTTGTGATATTTCTTCATTCGCACCACTACTATCGATTTCCCTTTGATTTTCCGTTCTCCTCATGCTCGAATTCCGTCGTGGCACATTTTCAGCATTAATTCTGCCACTTCGAATGCTTCCTTGCGAGAGTGTACCCTCAAACGATGATATTTGTGATGGTGTTGGCGATCCAAGAAATCTTATTCTTCCACTATTACCCATTTTAAATGATATGCTGGACGTCGGGGATATTACATTAAGTCTATCCCCTCTACCACTTATTGAAGTGGTAGTGGTATCCACATCACCATCACTTGGACCACTTGTACCCACTTTACCTATGCTATTATTAGGATCTGTTATGACATTACTAGTATCTGTTCTATTATTATCAAAATCCATTTCCATTAAACCTTCAACAATATTTGAAGCGTGAATGCGTTGTTGTAACGATTCTTCGTGCTCCAAGCTCGACGATGAGAAACCAGAACTCGAAATTACACCTCTATTGCTACTGCTGCTTTCGTTTCTTCCGCTGAACATGCTGCTACTCACACCCCTGTTACTACTACTGGCTTCATCTATTCCGCTGAAGACACTGCTGCTCGCACCACTTTCATTTTCATATGGACCACTATCCACAAATGTGCCTATACCACCTCTATTACCAGTCCTACCATCATTACTACCACCTATTGAGTCACTCACATATACACCACTGCTGCTGAGAAACACGTTATTATCATTCACCGGCATCGGATCGAGACTGGCAACACAAACAAGAGGAAATGCACCCTCCCTACCAGTATTTTGATTCACACCTACAGCCCAGCCATCATCAAAAGTCTGTTTCACCTCTATTATCTCGTTTTCTAACAACTCGATCTCATCGACCATCTGAGAAGCGTAAGGGTAAATAGCTACCACTAATACCGGTTGCCTCATCACCACCGAACCAATGGGGAGATCTTGCTGTTGTTCACAGACGTCTATCGAGGAAGCCATTGGCGAATCAATTGTATGGGGGACATCTATATTATCAAAACTCGGAGACTGAGATCTTGAAGCGTTCATTCTACCTGGGGGTGCATCCTCTCTCTCCACTTGTCCAGTATTTCGACCGATTCCACCGTTCAATAATGGACTCGTGGTGTAATCTTTTGGGTGTGTTCTTCCGGTCATCTCATTCGATGCTTCATCATCACTATCGTTCTTGAAGCAACAGCAACAGCAGTACGCGAAAAATGGGATATCCTTGTCCTTTTGTCTCCTCCCTAATGTATAAAAGCATACACCAAAACCCAAGAATAAAATTGCACCGGCTATTGTGCAAATTACGATTATCAAAATTTTGGGACTTTCATGTCCCGTTATTCCATTGGTGGAGGCGCTGTTATCCGAGGTATTTTTGGTTGGAGAGGAACCGTCATTATTGATCATTGGACACGTAGTGGAAAATGTAGAATTCTTGCCGCAGCATGATCCATTCGTGGATTTACAGTAGGAACAATATTCATTCTCATTTTGGAAGCCTAAAAGTAGCAGCGCCAAACATAACAATGAGAAACAAGACATGATGAATAAATAGATTTTATTTGAATGTGATCTCTATATATATGGGTTAATGATGAACGCTCAACAGTGTGATCGTCGTAAACTCCAAGAGCGTATGCCTTTCGATCAAGGTAATACATACATATATACCTCCCTCTTTCGTATATCAGATGCACCTCATAAGTTGCAATCATGGTAAATGATTCTACACCTTCAATTTTTCATCAGGCGTTTATTGAAAGCCTCAAATTCTGATTAATATTCTATTTTTCGAAGTCATTTCCATCATGACTGCACAGATCAAAACTTTGCCCATGTTCCCACGCGATCCACCAACTCTATCACACTGTATTCACATCGCATCTCATCTCGATAGTGAAGAAAAAAAAAAACTAACCGCAATTTTCTTCGTTCATATCTCCAGATATACACGTTGTATCGTTAGATATATTATCACCCTGTTCGCACCAATTCCTCACCGAATCCGTCAGGGAAATTATTGATGTGTTATTACACGTTTGAGTACGGTTGACGAGGTTCTGCAACGACAGGATGTGATCTTGACAAGTACTATTGCACAATCTTCGGAGGGGAAGGGAGGTAGGAGCGTTTGGCAAAATCGTGGGTGTAGGTATCGGGATGGTTATACCGTCAGTCTGAGATTGATCATAACTAATGTTTTGATTACACTGCAATGACATTGCATATTCCACCAACTCCGCACATACCATTGTAATGGTGTATCTAGCATATATGCTGGAAGAATTAAAATTTGAGCAGTTCATAACTTCCCAATTGATGTAATCGTTTTTCACATATTGCATCAATAAATCATCAAAATTTGAGATGTTATCTGTCCGGGCAACCCAATCAAATCTTCCACCTGTGTTATAATCCGTAACCACCGCCGCAGATATTGAATAATTTGAAAATGCACCACAGTATTTGGAACCTTTTAGAGGCAAGCATGGTGACCACCGAGGTGATTGCGCCCGAGCGATTGTTATCAACGGAGACATTATTATTAAAAGTACATATATTATTAACAGTAGGAAATGTGATATGGATTTGAATGGGGAGGAAAAGACGCGTGGGAGATTCGATGATTTGATGAAAAATGACACAGAGAATGCGGAAGAAGCAGCGGATAAAACTATGGATATTGTTTGTTTTATCTTTGTGCGATAATTGGTTATTAGCATTGTCACCTAAATAGATTTAAATGATGCTGATTAGATCTGATTGACGATATTCCATTCATAAAGTATGAATGCTAAGCATCTCTTACAGATTTGTAAATTGTGAGGCGAGGGAAGTTCACAGATGGAAACCTTCCTGATTTGATCTGAAGGTCGATTTTTGCCGGAGAGTTCGCTCTGGTGGTGTGTTGACACAGAAAAGAACAATATTCTGAAATTTTGGAAACCAATTCGTGTGGAGCGAAGAAGCGATCGAGTGAAGATCCAAACGAGACACCCAGACTCCGAGAATTAAACAAACAGCTAATAAATTCCCAGTGTGTGTCGAAGAAGTAGGCGCGCTTAAGATTTAACAAAGGAGCAGGGAATAGAAATGAAGGTGAAGACAAATAGACAGTAAAGGGTTTATACCGTAAAGGGTTTATGCAGAAAGAACACGGCAACAACAAATAAGGGAACCGTATTTTCTACAGAAAGAAGGAAGTATTTTTCCAAAGGTTTGTTCCCTCGCTCCGACGGAAAAGTTGAACAAATCTTATAACACGAATTAATCGAAATGATAATGATTGCGACAATGATGAAATCGATATCATGTAAATTAAAGTTATTTTAGATGAAAAAAAAAAAAGAAAAAAAGAAAATTGATTAATGAAGTCTAAAATTGAAAATAAATGAATAAAAGGAAAAAAAAATTTTTGGTCAGTAGAGTAGGAAATCTGGGAAAATTTGGAAACTCGGCGGGAGTGGACAAAAAAAATTTAAAGTGTGATGGTGATATACAACATGAAAGGAATAAAGCTTACCGCTTTTGTTTATACTTGATTCTAACCGATGCATGTAAAAAATAAAACTTTTTGATGGGTTGATGATGAACCAAAGTTATACAGTTTCTCTCTCCCCACGGTGTCGTACGAAAGATAACTAGTTTCAACAAGATTTCCTTTTTACATTAGCGTGACGTGGTTCGCACGACCTACTATGATTTCATTAAAAGATTGTGCATATGTTACATTTTGTGGTGTCATAGTGTAGAAAATATTCTCAGAAGAAATCTAGTTTTTTTTGTTTTGAATCCCGTCCATTATCTGGTTGCCTCTTGGACAGTACCTTGAGTTAAATCGTCACGGAACGTAACGGTGTGCGTAAAAAAACAGGTGTGACAATCGATGTCCAGTATTAAATTATACAATTTGTAAGGTTTTTGGATTTTTTTTTCCCGATGTCGACATGTGCATAATGGAAGAGATGCAACACAATAATGACTTTAAATCCTTATTATGTGGTGACCCCTTACACATAACACCGGGCATGGCGATGATCACGTTGATGTGGGCTATGTTCCTATTTTCTGAAATTTTACCCGATTGATCACAACCACCAGTGGCAATTAATTTCCACTGTTAGGTATATTTGCATACATAATCGTTCGATCATTCATGAGTGGAAATTCAAGAATTAAGTACATACCGGTTTTATATGCAATCTTTTTTTTTACCTAAATAGGAATACGATCACGGATTCACGCTAACCTTCTTTGTCTCATCTCCAGCGACTCCCTCTCGATGGTCGGCGAACAGAAGGGGAAACAATTCAAGGATTCATTTATACATGTTCGCCAGTTTCTTGCCTGTTTTGTGAGAATATGCGTGATTTCTTTTTTGTGAGATGCCGACGGCGTTCGAGTTGGATGAAACAAACAAACAAACAAACGAACGAATTAATAATGAATGAATGGATAAACGAATACATTATTACATTGTTTCAATCAATTATTGGTATTGGTCAATTTACTCACAAATATAGTAATTCGTCAGCCACACAAACAGTGTTTATTAATTTATTAACACCACGTTTAAACTAAACGCCACACCCAACACTCTCGCAATGTGTTGCGTCTTCGTTGTCCAAATTTTGCTCAAATACAAACAAATGTTTGATAATTGTATATGTCTGTATACCTTGAAAAATAATTGTTTGTACATCATAAACATGCGAAGACGAAGATATAAGATTGACATGAATGTTTCACGTAATCCTTTTGCACAAACATTTTCTTTTTAAGATTACAAACTTGCACAAATCTCCCTTTGATGCTGTGTACGAACCACACACACACAAAAAAGGATGTCAGATCTGGGCTTGATTTTTTTGATCGTGGCTTTTTAATTTCAAAATACGGGAGACTATCGCGAAAAAAATTATCCAAGTTTAGGTGGCGCAGCGGATCGAATGCATCAGCCGCTACTTTCGCTTCTTACTCAAATTGGACCTGTGTGTGACGCGGCGGTGGTTTCCAAACCATCAGGTATGTGTGGCTTTTTCTTCTTACACTTCTATGTCCAAACGATCACTGGCAACGCCTCCTTATACACATTTCAGGAAATCCGGAACGACCCTTCCTGTTGTTAATCTTCATCCTGTTTCCAACGTTCGATTCGACTTGTAAATTTTTTTTTGATAAATCATAGTTGTGCTACATACTTTACCGCCCCCTGCTAGTTGACGCTTACAAAAGTACGTATCATACACCCACCTACCCCTATTATCTTCTAATAAATAACCTGCTTCCAATTTCCTTTTACCCATTATATATTCATTTAATTTAATTTGCAATATTTGATTCGTATAAAACTGTGATAAACCACTGCCCCCAAGAAATATCAAATATATCTCTTCGCCAATCAATTGAAAAATTTGTAAATTTGTGCCCAAAACCGACTTAAATAACGATATCATGTACGTAATCTCTTTTAATGGTCTGAAAGATCTATCGGTCAAATTTCAGATTTAGGTTAATTACAGTAATGGTTATTTAACTCATCATTTAATAATATTTTAAACAGTACAGTATCTGCATTCCCATTTTAGTTTACTCTATATTTAGATGATATTCGTAAACTGTTGTAGAACCAATAATTATTATTTCCATATGCAGTAAGCGCATAGAAAATAAATTTCCAATAAAACGAGTAACACAAATTTTTTTTTTTTGTTAGTCGATTGAAAAATCTTCTTTTTTAAAAAATAAACGGTATATTCATATTTAAAAAAATCATAATTTTATATAATTCCAATTTCAAATAATCAATAAAAAAAATTTCTTTGAAAAAAAAATTATGTAAATATTCTTGTTGAATTTTTTAAAACACGGTATTACGTAATAAGATAAAACTTAAATTATAACTGAAATAAGTGCAAATATAAAGTTTAACATACCTAGAATATGATTTGACTATCTAATTTAAGATCTAATTTCAATTATCTATTTATAAAAAAACCATATGAAATTTTATTTATAAATTAATTCAAGCTATCTGAATTAATTTTTATTACGTATTTATTTTTTTAAAAAAAATCATTGCCATAAAATAATAATATCATTTTCAATACCTATAATCATAATATTTTTATTTAACTCGATAATTTTCATTTTTACTTTTATTTCTTATAACAAATGATTTTATCTTGTTGAGTTTATATTTTTAAACTTGTAAAATATTTTATTAAATATGTACAGTATATCATTAAATGTTAAATTAAAATATTTTTGATTTGAAATTTTTTTTGAAATTTATTAAATTGGTTTTACTTTAATAAAGTGTTTTTTTTATTGTTTATAATTAAATTATTTAATTGATTTTAAGGAATTTATTTTTATAATTATAATAAATTTAATTATTAACTATATTTTAAATATTTTTCAAATAATCTATAATATATAATTATCATTTTATAGATTTATAAATTACAAATAAATATCTTATAATATATAATATAAAAACAATAATTTATAATTTAAAATATTTTTATATTTAAAATTTTATTATCTATTTCTGTTTATTTTATTTAATAAAAATGTAAAAAAATTATTAAATTATTTTTTATTAACATAAAAAATTTTTATATATGATTTTTTTTTCTTTATAAAATTCTAAATATAGTGGTAATCAAAATTTTTTGAACAAAAATAATTTTTACTTAATTATTTAAATTTTAATAATTATTTATATAATATATTATTCAAATTTTATTAAAACTTTTTTAATTTTAAAAACTTTATAAAAAATTAATAACAATAAATTTATAAATTTATTTAATTAAGACAAATAAATTTATAAAATTAATATATAATTATCAAATAATTTATTTAAAAAATTTGTAAAATTTTTAACTTTTATATTAAAATCTAATTTTCAAAATTTTTAAATTAACTTTATAAAATAAAAAAATATAAAATTTTAATAATAAATAATTTATTTAAAAAAAACTTTCTCCCAATCCACTTGCATTTGTCAAAAATTGCCATTTTAAAAAATACAAAATTTTTTTACAAAAAAAAACTTTCAAAAATTTTGAAGGATCCTTTATATCCTTTATGGATCAAACAACCAATCCTTTATATACTTTTTTTGATATGTTTATCACTAATATAAACAAATGCCTTGTAATTATTATTCACAAAAATATTAATATCAATATTATTTATATTACCTATTCAATCTCCACTACTAAACTTTCCAAATCTACAAATCTTTTAAAGATATAATTTATATTAGTTCAAGTTTAAGAAAACAATCAGGAAACTTATAAAGTTATCTTAATATCTTTTTAAATTCATAAAAAACCACTATATCAAAATTAAAATAATCCATCCAGATCTATGGTTCCAAAAATTGGAATTGAACAGAATTATAAAAAATTACATAAGATTTAAAACACTATTAAAATAATAGTAAGATTCTATTTATTAAATTTAATATAAACTTGAGAATTAAATACAGAATTAAAGAGAATTGTTAGAATTCTTATCTAGATCTAAT